GCGTTGTGCATTTTTCTTGGATGGAGAAATGGCCAAAGGTCCAGTTATTTTTTGATTCATAAGCTGTAGCCAACTGATTGGCTGGATGATCAGGTATTTGGAAACAACCTTATTGGAAAATTTGTGAGAAAAAAAATGGGGAACGAGTATTTGAATACACTTTTTACAAATGGTACAAGTAAGTGAACAGGATTGGATATTATGCAAATGTTTATTAAATGGTGACTTCAATAGAGGTCAATAAACAACAGCATAGGAGAACCTGTTCTTCAGACAGTCAGCATCTTTCAACAGAATCCCCTGCTATTATCAATAGGCCCATGAACAGAGTGACCACTGTGGCAGAAAGAGAGGGTATTCATGGGCTCAACAAATAAACTTCCAAGGTGAATTGGCCACAGCTTCTGCCGACTGTCAGGTCTGCCAGTAACAGAGAGTAACACTCACCTTCTAATATGATACCATTCCCAAGGGTGACCAGCCAGAAGGCACATAAGGTATATTGGCTTACTTCCTATGTAGAAAGTACAGTGAGTTTAACTTATTGGAATTTACACTTATTTTGTTTATGGACTTGCCTTTCTTAAACATGATGCTTCTGATAAACCTACCATATAGGGACTCACAGAATGCCTTATCCAGTGTTATGGCATTGCACATAGAATTACTCCTGCTGAAGAAACTCAATTCTTAGGCACACAAGTGTGACAACTGGTCTACTCTCAAGTCGCTGATCACATTAGGTTGCCTGCTATCCTGACACAGTTGACTTCACAGAAAGAATGGCATTTAAAACAGAGTTACAATTAGGTGAATAATTAGTCTGAATAAATGGTGATGTTTTTACCCTTAGCCAGAATCTATGGGTTCAGGCATGAAGTCCTGTAAATGGGAACAGTTCCACTCACTATCACTTCTAGTGGCCCATTAGGAACAAATTTGCTTCCTGTTCCCACAACTTTAAGTTCTACTGACACAGAAGTGTTGGGTCCAGCTGGGGAAGTGTTCTTGCTAGTAGACATCAAAAACATTCCATTGATCTAGAAGTTCAGATTTTTAACTGCTCCCATTGAACTTCTGAGGCACAAAAATCAACAGGCTAAAATAGCAAAAACAGTATTATAGAAGGGTGGTTCAGACTTCCAGGCAGCAATTGATTCACTTCCCTATAACAGAGATAATAAAGATTATACTTGGAGTTCAGGGGACCCATTAGGGTATATCTTGTTGCTACCATGTCCTGTGGTTAAAGCTAATGTGAAACTACAACAACTGGATTCAGGCAGAATGACAAAGGGCACAGAACCTTCAAGAAAAAAAAAAAGTATAGAGCCCCTCCTGTTGTAATTTAAGAAAAGCAGCATGTGAGAGAAAGATGCCATGAGTCTGTGTTCAGGATTTAAGCAGAGGGTTTTTTTTTGTTGTTGTTGTTGTTGTTGTTTTAATTGGGGAAAGGGGTCATAAAAAGGTGAAAGGGAAGTGGGAGACCAGCTTTTGGAGGCAAGACCAGCAGGAGAGATGAAAGAGGGGGAGAGAGAGAAAAGGAGAGAGGGAGAGAGAGAGTAGAACACACACACACACAGAGAGAGAGAGAGAGAGAGAGAGAGAGAGAGAGAGAGAGAGAGAGAGAGAGGAGTTAGGCAAGGTCATTAAAAAGGGAACATAGTGAATGTGTACAGCTGGTTCTCTTAGTGGCTGCAGCTGAGGGTGTATCCTGTCAAAACCCCAAGAACAGGCCAGTACAAATGCCTGAATACTAACACCTCCTCCTGTAAAACAACTAAAACTAGCTGAGCTGGTTGCTGTGGGTGGAAGAAATACAGAATGGGTAGTACATGAAAGTAATTATAAATTCCAGCTAATGCCATGTGACCAGTTGCAGAAATGGTAATTATGACTTGGTTTATGTTTCCATTTGGAAATGAAGCGTGATATAAGCAGATGTGCTTCTATTCAAATTGGCAAGGGGTGGGCTTAAGATGTCTAATCATAATTTTCAACTTGACAAAAATTAGAATCAAGTATAACCCAAATAGGTAAGCATACTTGTGAGAGATTATCTTGCTTGGGTCATTTGAGTTGGGGAAAATAAACCTTAAATATGGGCCTTGTCTGCTAGTGGAAGGGCACATAAAATGACCTGAAAGAAGGAAGCTCTTGGTGTTTGTCAGCTTGCCCTTACTCTCACTGGTAAGTTCATCTATCCTGTTGCTGAGCATTTCTTCCCTGGTATAGGTACCTACTTCCTCAGGATTCTAACATAGACTAAAAACCAGCAGCTTGCTCAGAATCCCCCAACACTCTAGTATCAGACTGACATTGCTGAAACATACTATGTCAAGGAGTACACAAATATCAGGTTCTTGGTCTTTCAGTCAGGAAACTGCGGGTTTACCACTCTAATATAGTCCCTGTTTAATATATGGATATTCATTATATAAGCGCTGTTACTTTAGAGAACATTGGCTAATAAAAAGTAGTATTATTGTAGTTCTAAGAAATGTTGGGGCGATCATTTGTCAGAAGCAAAGTTGCTTGTTAGATAACCATAGGCCCAATTCAGTGTAGCATTTCCTTTGGAGAGAGTCATGCGATCAAAGATAATTCATGAAAAATACATTATCTTGTACTTCATACTCCCCAGCCTCTGAACATGACATGATTCTTACTTATCTGCTCTGTAATTATAGTGGAGATGCTGTATTGAAGCTATAACAGCGAATAAAGCAGGCCACATTTCTATCTAGTCTAGTGCTTGATAACACTTTTTGTGAGGTGTGAAAATCTAGGACAAATAGTTGAAATGCTACTGTGAGATGGGTATAATGAAAGGAGTATGACATCAAACTGTTAGTCGGGTACAAAGGTTAAGGTAACTAATGAACATGTGGATTTCTTAATAGAAAATTAAGTATTTATAGATATTAAAGGATTGCCTTAGGTCAAATGGTCAGGATTCAATAACATAGTAATATTCTGATAGTACTGTAAAAACCTAGAAAAACATATCCATTTTGTTGCCTGTTATTTTCCAGTCTTTTTTCAAATATTCCAATAGTGAAGTTGAGTTTTAGTATAATTCTTTGGGGGATATAACATGTTACAGATTTAAATTAAATTGAGATTATCAAAACATGGTTCATAAAATGGAAGAAAATATTTTAAGGTTTAGCCTATCAAATAAATGAAAGAAATCAGTCTATTGAGGCAAAATTCTGGAACACAAGTAGAACCATTAGGTACCACGAGGTCATACAGCATACATATTATGGACAGAATTGTATGCATCTTTGATTTCACTTCTTAGATTCTTTTGTGGTTGAATAACTCACCCAAATTAACAATTTCACTTATCTGAGCTTGTATCCCTCATTCACAAGTAGTGAGGCTTAAATCATCCTAACGTGTTTCATAATACTGCTTCCATAGTGTCATCAATAATTGAAAAAAGCAGAAAGTGTAGGAAGGCAAAAACAAAATAAAATGTCACTGAGACTAATTGAACCACAGAGATAGGGTGGCATGGAATCTGAGCTGCTCAAACTTATAAATCAAAAGTATTTTAAGCTTTTTTGTTTCAAATATAGAATATATAAATTCAAGTTAATGAGTTAATGAGATAGATACCCTGCTGGCATGCTTTAATGAATGGATGATATCAGTGGGAAATAAATAGCTCCATTTGCATGCAAACACAGAGTTAAATGAGTTGAAAATATTTTTCCTTTAAATAAATGTGCATCTGGGAAAACAAAAGCACTTATACTCTCATGTTTTCGCTAAGAAAATATTAAATACAGGCTAACCCTGGCTATTATCAGTTGAAATTTAGTTTCTATACTAGAGGAATTTTACTATAGGTTATAAATGAGATTGAAAATTATATACTCCTTGTTAGAAATAGTAGGAGACAGAGTAAAACACAGAACTCTAAGTGGAGAAGTTCAGTTTCACATAACAGAAAAACATGATCTAAGAGAAAAGAAAGGACTTGAGGATATTCTACTATGAAAAATGTTTATGAATCATTGTTTACCCTTTGTCTTGTAAAAGAGGCAAGAAGAAAGGAAAAAGAAAATGATGTAATTATATTATAATTATAATAAAAGAAATAATGAAGTAGGGGCAATAGCCTGAAATCAAATAGTCTATGGTCATACCACCCTGAAAGTGCCCGATCTCATCTGAAATCAAATAATTATATGATGATATGTTTGGGGACTTAGAAATGTTGATCAAACAAGGATAGTAAATATTAAAATTGCCTATGTTTTAATTACTATTCTAAGTTTTTATAGCCTGACCACCTCATAATTTTTAATAAATGTGGTTTGATGAAAGATCTACCACTAGTCATACAAATCATTTATAAATGTTGTTTTGCATATCATTCTTCAAAGGAACAAAGCTGATGAATACAATAAAGAAGTAAACAACCATCAATGCCTCCTTCCCAAAGAACTGCAAAACTAAAAGTCTTCGTTAAATAATGACCTGCTTTTTGCTTTTAGTTTTTCTCTTTCTTTTTTAATGAGTTATTTTTAATTGATGACATGAATAAAATGTGATTGTGAGGCCAAGATAGTAGCATCTGGAGAAAAGAACCAAGGTAATCTGCTAGGTAGCAATTTAAAGTTATGACACCATCAGATTTGTACCATGTTAAAACCATTCTAAATGCAAAACAAAATTAGAACAAAACAAGAATAAGAACAAAAAGGTATTCTGTTTAAAGCAGAACCCCAAGACAAATGAGGATTTTTTTTTCCTAAAAGCATGTCTTGCTGTTATCCCTACCTACCTTTAAGCTTACCTTCATAAGGGAAGTACATACAGTTAAAGGAGTAAAGCAATTGTCACTAGACTAATCTCTGATAATTTCATTTGTTTAGCCTTAGGTGTTACTTGTCAGGTGGATAATGTTCATTTTCTGGACTAGATGGGTGTCATGATTGAATGACGTAAAAGTAACTTGTAGTCAAATATTTCAAAACACTTGCCTTGAGTAGAACCAGCTGGAGCCTCCATGTCACAACAAACAGGAGAGAATTTAAAACCTGTAACATTAAACATTTTACTATTAATCTTTCTCTAAGTTGTCTGACATTCCTCAAATTTCAACATGAACAATGCATCAAGTGTTTTTTTTAATTTGAATTGGAAATAATCATAATTTATAAATCAATCCCAGTTCCCTCTTCCTCCAATCCTCCCATGTCCACCACAGATCCCCCCCCCCCATCCCACCATCTATCCACACCTCAGGGAGGGTGAGGCCTTCCATAGGGGAATCATCAAAGTCTGTGTCATCATTTGGGGCAGGGCCTAGGCCTTCCCCGTGGGACGGGCTCCCAAAATCCATTCATATACTAAAGATAAATAGTGATCCACTACAAGAGACCCCATAGACTGCACAGGCCTCCTAACTGACACCCACATTCAGGTGTTTTTTTTTTTAACGTAACAGCATTGATAAAAAATAACCTATATATGTATCATAAGATTCCCTCATTAAAACATAGTGCTTTTTCTTTTCAGAGTCTTGGAAACATCAATGCTACTTTCTTCTACAATTTTCCTCATCCCTAAAAGAAAACCCACTGATGATCACATAAGATAGAATGGTATAGTCTAGGACAAAAATTCTTTCTCCATGTAAGTTTCAACTTAGTGATCTTATAGCAATTGTTTGTATGAGGGGATATAACCAGCCTGGCAGAGATGAACATACTGAAAAGAGACAGCTGTGTCTTTTAATCTGACTACCAGATGACTGAAACGACAATGGACCCCAAAGAAATGGGAATTTCCCAAGGAATCTCATACTGGAATTAGGAAGGGGCACCAGCTGGAGGAGGAATTTACCACCCAGAATGAGACTGAAACATAGACAATGATGCTTTCTGTATTACTGTTTGTTTTCACTTAAATTCTGTTCTTACAGGCATATATTGAATAGCGGGTATATTTTTCTACTATCCTCTTTTCTCAGCTCTCCCCATCCCTTTGTTCTGCTAGAAAAATTTATTTGTTTTCATTTAATATATAAGGATGTTATGTGATTGCATGATGAGGCAAAAAGTATTTGTCATTTTAAAATGGTTTAATTTACTTATTATGCTAACATGAATGTGGATAAAAGGGAACTCATAAAATTTTGACAAAGAAAATTATGGTTAAACTAGATGAATTTGATTAATAATCATTTAATATGCCTATTATGAAATTACTTTTTGATAGAGGGAGAAGAACACACTTTAAATAAGTTAACTTCTTCCTCAAAACTCAGAAAGTGAAAACATTTCATTTTCTAATTGTATAAGGAAATCATATATAATTACAACATAATGATATTGCTGCTAGTAGTTATTGTCTGGCAAATGACTGGTGTCTTTAAAATAATTGTGTATGTGAAATAATTTCATTCTAATGTGGTTAATGTGAATCTGTTTATACACCCAGCAAGTTAATTTGGATCAAAATAGAGAGTCCCTACAGAGACTGTGCATGCTATATAATTGTTCATCTACTTGTTCATACACTGATATAAAGCCAAAACACATGAAATGAGTATTTCCTATAATAAATCCCACTGGGGTAGCACTGGAAAATAAAAATAAAAGGTGAGTAATGAATAAGACATTCACAATATTGCTGACTACATGAGATAATTTCTCTAGGGGGTTCCTCAGAAATGAAGACTATTCTGTGTCGTTATAAATAAATGTGTCTATTTGCCACATACTTAAGTATACTCCTTTTTCCTGGGAACCTGCTAACATGTATTTGTATTCTGCATACCAAATGAAAGATGGGCAGATATAAGAAGTGATAACAAAGCAAAGGAGGAAAGCCATTCTTCATGAATTTCATTTGAATTGCAGATTTAGCTTTCTTACCATTTTCCCCATCAGACTTCCGTTCATGGTCAGTGTCAGTCAAGGACAATGCAGAGTTCGCCCTGCTGGACAGACAGGAACTATGCTCTGACTTCATGCCTCTTATCCACATTCTGAGCGCATGGTCAGGTGACGCAGCACCTTCTGTCTCTGTGTCCACATCAGACCCCATCTCTAGCTGGTAGCCATGCCGAGAAACACTGTGCATGTCTGTCTGATAGCCAGAGCACAAAGTAGGAGGTGTTTCACAGAATTCTATCTCTGAAAAGAATCAAAGTTCAGACAAGAGGGTATATAAGTATGAACAAAACCACTAACTTTCATTTTTCTGTCCTCAAGTTTCCACTTCCCCATTTCTAGTATTTGTGAGTTTTTGCAAAGTTAGCAAAGTTATGGTAGCTAGAATTCTGTGCTTATTTTGTACTTCTATACTTAAAATTATGCTCCTTTTGATTCTTACAAGGTTCTGGTTTTAAAAAAAGCATTCTCAAAATAGCTTAGAGCAATAATATCTTGGTTGCACAAAATATAATAAAATAAGTATGTATAATAAGTATAAAGTATAGAGAGATGTCTTCGAAAGCAATTTCTCTTAGAAAATGAATATATATGATCTATACCGTACACCTATGCTGAAAATAGCAAAATTATTTGCTTTTCTAAGTATAACATATATATTATATATAATCTAATAAGAAATATAAAACAGAAAAACATTAATCAAATAGATTATTCAAGTACATACTCTAAAATTATGAGCAACTAATAATTGTTTTCCACTGTTTCCAAATGAGTTTAAGGTGTACTTTTTGCCAATTCTTTTGTTTTGTTTTAATGCTGGAGAATGACTGTACTTGACCTTAAAAGAAAAATCCCAAGGTAGACAGTCTATAACACCAAACGGCTACCTAGAGGAGGAGGAGAGTGAAAAAATGAGAAAAAACATGCCCTTGACTTAGCCTGCAAGGACCATATCAATGCCAGAAGGGCTAAAGTGAAAGAGTAAGGAAGCCCAAAGTGTGAGGGTAAACAGAGCAGAGATAGAAAAGAAGGAAAAAGAGTTAAGCTTTTCTGATAACTCAAAGAGGGCAAACTTGGGAAGCTAGATGGCTGCAATTCTGGAAGAGACTGGGGGTAGATGAGGGATAATTATTTCTTTGCTCTTTAAACAAATAATAACAACAAAACATACAAAATCGATATTGTAACATGGCAGTACCTCACAGTTTGGATGTTTTCCATTTCCTTCCAAATTTTAGAAATCTAACATGGTTAGAATCTTCAGTAATCATGTCATTAGTAAATGAAAAAATAAAATCCAGTATGCTGGTGGTACTTTTCCATCAGCGTACACCAAACAGCAAAAGCCTCTATTTCTGTATTCATTTATTTATTTGTTATTGCTACAATGTACAACATGAGCATCATTTCTGCTAGACACCAGTAAAGCTCTATCCACCTACTGCACGATTATCTGGAATTCTGTCTTATAGTCAATATATATTCAATTATGGCAATGTGTCAAAAGATGTGGGATGCTTTAACAATCCTAATAAGTTAATGAAAAATGACCACATGCCAAGACATATCATTTGAAATGTCCATGTAATACTTAGATAAGGTAATCCGGGGATGTAGTACACTACATAGGATTTTCTCAGACTGACATGGGAGACAGGGTATGTCAATTGTCTGGGAAAAGGCTTAACTGACGGCATCTAATCCATACCACATATCAATAAAATGCAAACTAACATGAATCCAATTCTTTGAATATAGAAAATGTTTACTCTTAGACCATGTACTAAAGAAAATTCAGAAGGCAGTGTATAATGTGTGGTTAATAGTTTTATGCTCCTAGCACTGTGCTTTGTGAAAAAGACATTAAAGACAAATAAATCTACTATAATGTATTAGGAAATTCAATAACAATATATTCTTCTAGAGTTGAAAGTCACTACTCAGAATGCTACTTTGTGATTGCATAGATTAGTTTCTTTCAAAAACTGTACTTTTCTACTAGAATTTATGTCAAGTTCAAGGAAATAATGTTTTAAAGATAGCTTCGGCTTCACTTATCAAACACAAAACCTTATTAAATCATGGCCTTTTCTGCCGTAAGGTTAAAAAACAAAATTCATTTTACTCAGTGTAAACCTTGGAATATTCATTCTAATTTCACCATGATTCTTTATTGAATACTACAATATTAGTGTTGCTACAGCAACTTGTTAATGAACATGTCCACTTATAGGTAAACTAATAGAATGCTACATAGGTTTTTCAACACAGCTCCTTTCCTTTCCCTAGAATACCATTTCTCAAACTTGCTTACCTCAGAATCATCTGGAAGGCTTGTTAAAACAAATGGGTGTACCTTACTATAGCTTCTACCCTGCCCTGTGCTTTAATGCGTAATGCAGTAGGTATGCAGTTGGAGTAAATAGTTTGCATTTAAAAGGATTTTAAGGTGTGGCCTGTAGTCATCATTGGAAACACAGTTTGAAAACTTAGGTCTTAGAGTTTTCTCTAAAGTCCATGGGAAAAGGAAATCAGTGAAGGTACAAACGTACCATGGCATTACTGCAGATTTTCACCTGCCAGCTTGAATTCTGGGGGCAAATAAAAGAAAATATTTGTTCTGAATGGCTGTGATGTACCTCCATGTATTTTTCATAGATTTAGATAACTAATTAGGAAAGTCACGTCCCAAAACAATGACATATTTAGTTTCACTCAGGTGGTGGAACATGAGATGTGAATTTACAAAGATTTTTAAAATGAACATCTGAGTCATAACATTTCTTGAAAAAAAAAGATGAGTAAATACAAATAGAGGACAACTTGCCATTCTAGATTGATAAAACACCGGGAGAAATATTTTTCCCTCAAGGAAGCACTGACAGATGTAGGCAGACTCCATTTTTGTTAAAGAGATTTATTTTCTGACTTAAAAGGAAATTTGAGCATTGATTTGTTCCTTTAAAAGTAAATGTCATTTAATATTACCAAAAATTGCACAGGATAACCAATTTGTTTTATATAGTATCATTTAGAATACAAAGGCTAAATCATAAATATTCTAATTAAGTAAGTTAGACAAATGTATTCTTTCTTCAACAAACTATAGTTGAAAAGATCTTTGCAAGCCATTAGCTGTTCATTTGTATAAAGTGGTGAAGGAGGCAAAACTAGAGTGATTGTGAAAATGCAAAGAAAGGGAGAGAAATATTTTATCATCACAAGTGATGTTCATTGAACTGCTTTACTTCCTTTTCCTGAAGTCAACGTTATTATTGCTAAAAAATTTCTTAAATACACAAAAGTATGAATTCTGCTTTAAATCCCCACAGGATACATTATTTAACAAGCAATTCAATGTACTCTTAGTGGTTGTTTTTAGCCACGCACATATAAACTTGCTACCTAAAATGCTACATATTCCCTAGAGCAGATAAAGTTCAGCTGTGTTTATTAAAGACCTGTTCTTACCAAAAGGCTATCCACAAGAGAAAGGAATGTATAGTCCTAAGATTTAAATGGCTAGACTGATACATGAGAATCTGCATTCCAACTACATTCCAAGAATAAAATAGGATAGAGATGTTTAAGTAAATGTACCTGCAGTCCCATGAAAATGTTTCTAATTTTTATTCTGAGATAAAATTATTTTACTATACTGCAAGAGACTACATAGGAGAGATTAGAAGAGTGAACATCCAGTTTTTAAAATGGATAATAGGTTTGAGAAGATATTTCACAATAAGTGATATAAGATTGGCTAATAAATGAATAAAATATATTTAACACAGTTATCAGAAAAATATAAACTAAAACTGCAATGTAACACAACCACATATGGCCTAGTATAAAATACAAACAAAGAAATAGAACACAGAAATTCCTTACTGTCTTGGTCACTATTACATTGCTATGAAGAGACACCATGTTCTAGACACTCTTATCAAAGAAAGCATTTAGTTGGGTGATTTGCTTTTAGTTTCAGATGTTTAGCTCATTATCATTATGGAAAAGAGTATGGTGGCAGACAGGCATGGTGTTGAAGATACATTATAGCTGAGAGATACATCTTGATCCAGAGAGAGAGAGAGAGAGTGAGAGAGAGGGAGTAGGAAAGAGGGAAGGAGAGAGGGAGAGAAGGCCCTCATACATCAATCAACAATCAAGATGACTCCCCATAGTCACAGCCATAGGCCAATCTGATCTGGGCAATCATTTTTAATTGAGAGTGCTTCTTCTCAGATGAATCTTGGTTGTTTCAAGCAGGTAATTAAAAATTAACCAGGACAGATACCTATTATCTTGATTGAGTTACAATTTCACAAATACCAAAGAAAGACGCTGTTCCTGTCACCTCAGTTAAAGAAATTACAAGGAAAGTGAACAGAAATATTCTTACTTAAATCTAAACCAAGAGACAGTCAAGGTTAATGGGTGCATTTTATTTTAGTGATCCTCTTGGGCTTGATATTTTCTTAAGGAGATTAGCAACTGACAATCACATTTAGATAGAAAGTAGGATGAAACTGTAACTGCTGAGCCTTCCACAGTTACATGAGTATCCAATAGTAGCAAAGCATGAGAATAGCTTGAAACATTCTGACATGTTGCATCACCCTAGGCTACCCATAATGATGAAAAGAAATTAATTACTTAAATACTGAGGTGTTGCATAAAACGAGGTAGTGAATTTTCTGTCTGAATGCAGATGTTGATTTTTAGGTGGCAAGTGTGGCAAAGTCATTTATCAGAACTAGAAAAGGAAAAATAATATTAGCTATATCTCCAATTTTATAGAAGTCCTATTTGTAAGCTTTTGAAAAGTCCATGAATTTATTATCCTTAAACTTCTACCTATCAATATTCCAAGGATTTTCAAAGCATCATGATCCAGGCTAATATTGCAAAGTCAAGGAACATGGTTATTTTAGCTATGACTTGAAATTTTGGGGATTTAATATATAATAAGAAGAGGTTATTTCCAAAATAATGGATGATGAAAAATTATTGCTCTTAGTTTGTGTCATGACAACTCATGAATTATATAGAAATAAAAGTTATTACTTATACAGTTTTTAAAAATAAGTCACTTGAGGTAATTCAGAGTCTTTAATTGTAAAATATATAGCAACATCTCAAAATAAGAATCTAAAGGTCAACTTCTAATTATAACCTGAGACTCTCAGAACAAAATACGACTGGTCAACAATTACACAGAAAGAGCTTTGTGATGAAAAAGT